GGTAGCGTGGATTCGATGCACTCTACTAAATTTCAGCCGGAGCTATATAATTTCAAAACACAGTATTATATTTTCAACGTGGCATCGATTCGATGCACTATAATAATTTTCAGCCGGAGCTATATAGTTTCAAAGCACAGTATTATCTTTCCAAAGAGGCGTGAAATCGATGAACTTTAACAATTTTCAGCCGGAGCTATATAATTTCAAAACACAGTATTATATTTTTAAGGTAGCATGGATTCGATGAACTATAATAATTTTCAGCCGGAGCTATATAATTTCAAAGCAATGTATAATATTTTCAACGTGGCATGAATTCGATGCACTTTAATAATTTTCAGCCGGAGCTATATAATTTCAAAACACAGTATTATATTTTCAACGTGACATGGATTCGATGCATTATAATAATTTTTAACCTGAGCTATATAATTTCAAAGCACAGTATTATGTTTTCAACGTGGCATGGATTCGATGCATTATAATAATTTTCAGCCGGAGCTATATAATTTCAGGTCACAGTATAATATTTTCAACGTAGCGTGGATTCGATGCGCTCTACCAATTTTTAACCGGAGCTATATAATTGCAAAGCACAGTATAATATTTTCAACGTGGCATTGATTCGATGCACTATAATAATTTTTAACCAGAGCTATATAATTTCAAAACACAGTATTATATTTTCAACGTGGCATCGATTCGATGCATTATAAAAATTTTCAGCCGGAGCTATGTAATTTCAAAACACAGTATTATATTTTCAACGTGGCATGGATTCGATGCACTATAATAATTTTTAACCGTAGCTATATAATTTCAAAGCACAGTATTATATTTCAAAAGTGGCGCGAAATCGATGCACTATAATCATTTTCAGTCGGAGCTATATAATTTCAAAGCACAGTATTATATTTTCAACGTGGCATGGATTCGATGCACTATAATAATTTTTAACCGTAGCTATATAATTTCAAAGCACAGTATTATGTTTTCTACGTGGCATCGATTCGATGAACTTTACTAATTTTTAGCCGGAGCTATATAATTTCAAAACACAGTATTATATTTTCAAGGTAGCGTGGATTCGATGCACTATAATAATTTTCAGCCGGAGCTATATAATTTCAAAGCAATGTATAATATTTTCAACGTGGCATGAATTCGATGCACTTTAATAATTTTCAGCCGGAGCTATATAATTTCAAAACACAGTATTATATTTTCAACGTGGCATGGATTCGATGCACTATAATAATTTTTAACCGTAGCTATATAATTTCAAAGCACAGTATTATGTTTTCATCGTGGCATCGATTCGATGAACTTTAACAATTTTCAGCCGGAGCTATATAATTTCAAAACAAAGTATTATATTTTCAACGTGGCATGGATTCGATGCATTATAATAATTTTTAACCTGAGCTATATAATTTCAAGGCACAGTATTATGTTTTCAACGTGGCATCGATTCGATGAACTTTAACAATTTTCAGCCGGAGCTATATAATTTCAAAACACAGTATTATATTTTCAACGTAGCATGGATTCGATGCACTATAATAATTTTCAGCCGGAGCTATATAATTTCAGGTCACAGTATAATATTTTCAACGTAGCGTGGATTCGATGCATTCTACCAATTTTTAACCGGAGCTATATAATTTCAGGTCACAGTATAATATTTTCAACGTGGCATGGGTTCGATGCACTATAATAATTTTTAACCAGAGCTATATAATTTCAAAACACAGTATTTTATTTTCAACGTGGCATCGATTCGATGCATTATAAAAATTTTCAGCCGGAGCTATATAATTTCAAAACACAGTATTATATTTTCAACGTGGTATTGATTCGATGCATTATAATAATTTTCAGCCGGAGCTATGTAATTTCAAAACACAGTATTATATTTTGAACGTGGCATCGATTCGATGCATTATAATAATTTTCAGCCGGAGCTATATAATTTCAAAGCACAGTATTATATTTCAAAAGTGGCGCGAAATCGATGCACTATAATCATTTTCAGTCGGAGCTATATAATTTCAAAGCACAGTATTATATTTTCAACGTGGCATGGATTCGATGCACTATAATAATTTTTAACCGTAGCTATATAATTTCAAGGCACAGTATTATGTTTTCATCGTGGCATCGATTCGATGAACTTTAACAATTTTCAGCCGGAGCTATATAATTTCAAAACAAAGTATTATATTTTCAACGTGGCATGGATTCGATGCATTATAATAATTTTTAACCTGAGCTATATAATTTCAAAGCACAATATTATGTTTTCAACGTGGCATCGATTCGATGAACTGTAACAATTTTCAGCCGGAGCTATATAATTTCAAAACACAGTATTATATTTTCAAGGTAGCGTGGATTCGATGCACTATAATAATTTTCAGCCGGAGCTATATAATTTCAAAGCAATGTATAATATTTTCAACGTTTCATCGATTTGATGCACTTTAATAATTTTCAGCCGGAGCTATATAATTTCAAAACACAGTATTATATTTTCAACGTGACATAGATTCGATGCATTATAATAATTTTTAACCGGAGCTATATAATTTCAAAGCACAGTATTATGTTTTCAACGTGGCATCGATTCGATGAACTTTAACAATTTTCAGCCGGAGCTATATAATTTCAAAACACAGTATTATATTTTCAACGTGGCATGGATTCGATGCATTATAATAATTTTCAGCCGGAGCTATATAATTTCAGGTCACAGTATAATATTTTCAACGTAGCGTGGATTCGATGCACTCTACCAATTTTTAACCGGAGCTATATAATTGCAAAGCACAGTATAATATTTTCAACGTGGCATGGATTCGATGCACTATAATAATTTTTAACCAGAGCTATATAATTTCAAAACACAGTATTATATTTTCAACGTGGCATCGATTCGACGCATTATAAAAATTTTCAGCCGGAGCTATATAATTTCAAAACACAGTATTATATTTTCAACGTGGTATTGATTCGATGCATTATAATAATTTTCAGCCGGAGCTATGTAATTTCAAAGCACAGTATTATATTTTGAACGTGGCATCGATTCGATGCATTATAAAAATTTTCAGCCGGAGCTATATAGTTTCAAAGCACAGTATTATATTTCAAAAGTGGCGCGAAATCGATGCACTATAATCATTTTCAGTCGGAGCTATATAATTTCAAAGCACAGTATTATATTTTCAACGTGGCATGAATTCGATGCACTATAATAATTTTTAACCGTAGCTATATAATTTGAAAACACAGTATAATATTTTCAACGTAGCGTGGATTCGATGCACTCTACCAATTTTTAACCGGAGCTATATAATTGCAAAGCACAGTATAATATTTTCAACGTGGCATGGATTCGATGAACTTTAACAATTTTCAGCCGGAGCTATATAATTTCAAAACACAGTATTATATTTTCAACGTGGCATGGATTCGATGCATTATAATAATTTTCAGCCGGAGTTATATAATTTCAGGTCACAGTATAATATTTTCAACGTCTACTAATTTTTAACCGGAGCTATATAATTCACAAACACAGTATTATATTTTCAACGTGGCATCGATTCGATGCACTATAATAAATTTCAGCCGGAGCTATATAGTTTCAAAGCACAGTATAATATTTTCGACGTGGCATGGATTCGATGCACTATAATAATTTTTAACCGGAGCTATATAATTTCAAAGCACAGTATTATGTTTTCAACGTGGCATCGATTCGATGAACTTTAACAATTTTCAGCCGGAGCTATATAATTTCAAAACACAGTATTATATTTTCAACGTGGCATGGATTCGATGCATTATAATAATTTTCAGCCGGAGCTATATAATTTCAGGTCACAGTATAATATTTTCAACGTAGCGTGGATTCGATGCGCTCTACCAATTTTTAACCGGAGCTATATAATTGCAAAGCACAGTATAATATTTTCAACGTGGCATGGATTCGATGCACTATAATAATTTTTAACCAGAGCTATATAATTTCAAAACACAGTATTATATTTTCAACGTGGCATGGATTCGATGCACTATAATAATTTTTAACCGGAGCTATATAATTTCAAAGCACAGTATTATGTTTTCAACGTGGCATCGATTCGATGAACTTTAACAATTTTCAGCCGGAGCTTTATAATTTCAAAACACAGTATTATATTTTCAACGTGGTATTGATTCGATGCATTATAATAATTTTCAGCCGGAGCTATGTAATTTCAAAACACAGTATTATATTTTCAACGTGGCATCGATCCGATGCATTATAATAATTTTCAGCCGGAGCTATATAGTTTCAAAGCACAGTATTATATTTCAAAAGTGGCGCGAAATCGATGCACTATAATCATTTTCAGTCGGAGCTATATAATTTCAAAGCACAGTATTATATTTTCAACGTGGCATGGATTCGATGCACTATAATAATTTTTAACCGTAGCTATATAATTTCAAAGCACAGTATTATGTTTTCAACGTGGCATCGATTCGATGAACTTTAACAATTTTCAGCCGGAGCTATATAATTTCAAAACTCAGTATTATATTTTCAACGTGGAATGGATTCAATGTATTATAATAATTGTAGAGTTTAAGCTTTTATGTAGATAGAATAAGCTTTGTATAAGAGTAAGCTTGTAAGTTAAAATAAAATAAATAAAAATCAGTCTTGATCGAAACCTAATCGTAAACATTACATTGGCGACGAGGAAAATATTGTTAAAAAAATTATTCAAAAAAAAAAATTAATTTATCGTTAAAAATTATTTAAATTAAAATTAAATTTTAATTAAATTTTTTAAAAAAAAAAAGAAAAAAAATTTTTAAATCATCATATAAAATTATATGAAAAGCAGTTTGACTCGTGCAAAATAAATTATACAAAAAAATTATTTAAAAAAGAAAATTTTTGTTTTTGAAAAAAATGACACAAAATGAAAGTGTATGCTTCACAAGTACGACCATGTCAGGGGTGCGGGAGTTCAGACCGCAAGTGGACAGTTGGTGCGACTGGGTGGAGATCCTAGACTCCCATTTTGTTGAAATGGCTTGTCAGGACGACAAGATCAAGCGGTCGATCCTGTTAAAAAACATTGGAATGGAGGCTTATGGACTGCTGCGGGACATCTGTGATCCGGATCTGCCTGCAACCCAAACGTATGATAAATTGTGTACGCTTTTGGGAAGTCACTTTTCAAAGCCGATTATTATTTTTCGCGAGCGAAAAATATTTTTTGATGCTGTTCGTGAAAAAGGGCAAACAATTATGGAGTGGTTTGCACTTTTAAAAAAATTAGCAAGAAATTGTAAATTTGGGGCACAATTAAATTCGTTTGTTCTAAATAAATTCGTTACTGCTTTAGACGGTAGAACATTCGAAAGATTGTGTGAAGAAGATGAGACCTTGACAATTGAACGGGCATTAAAAATTGCAATAATTACGGAAGCAAAAAATGAAGCTTTCAAACAGCAACAAACCCATGATGTAGAGGTTAATGCCCTTTTTAAAAGAAATTTGCATTTCAAAGGCGCAAACAGTGCGAGTACGAATAAAGCTTGCATGCATAACAAAAATGCAAACAGCGGCAGCAGCAGCGGCAGCGGCAGTAAAAAGCAACGGCAGAGCTGTAAACACTGTGGTTGGAGAAACCATGAAAGTAGTAGCTGCAAATTTAAAAATTGCAAATGCAATAATTGTGGACGTGTGGGCCATTTGGCCAATATTTGTTTAAAAAAGAAAACAATAAGTATTGTAAATAATAATGAATGCAAAAATTTTTCTAATTTAGTAAATAATTCTGATACTAATAATTTTTCAATTTTTAGTGTAGATGATAAGTGTCATCCCAAGTCACCACCTCCTTTCGTCATTGATGTAGAAGTGAACGGTGTTAAGCTCGCATTTGTGCTAGATTCTGGAGCAGCTTGTTCATTACTTTCGAAAGGCGATTTCCATAAACATTTTGGGAGAATCAAGCTAAAGAAATGCAACGATCAGTTTGTCACATACAGTGGTGATATTGTGGGGATTTTGGGTGAGTTTAGTGCTTCAATTAAGTGTCGTGGACAGTCGCACAAGTTGCGAATTGTGGTTAGTGATACGCTTAGCCGCCCTGTTTTTGGTAGGGATTTTATGTCACTTTTTGGGATGGAAATAAGCACACTGAGTCAGTTAGATGATAGAGTAGCGTTTCTAAAAAGTAGATTTTCTACAGTTTTTGCTGAAGGGTTAGGAACGTATAAGGTGCATAAGGTTAAACTTAGTCTTAAAGAGGATGCAAAACCTGTTTTTTGCAAGCCCAGGCCAGTGCCATTGGCTTGGCGTAAAGAAATCGAAAGACAGATTCAGGATTTGGTAAAAAAGGGTGTTTTAAAATTAATAGAGGATTCAGATTGGGGTACGCCGTTAGTACCAGTGTTAAAGTCTAATGGTGAATTACGTATTTGTGGCGACTATAAGTCGACCATCAATAAGCACCTGCTAGATGTGAGGTATCCGTTACCTAGGATTGAAGAACTATTTGCTTCCCTTAAAGGACAGTTCTTCACCAAACTTGATTTGTCAAATGCGTACAATCAGCTTGAATTGGTAGAAGAATCCCAACGGTTATGCGCATGGAGCACACATTTAGGTATTTTTAAGATAACCAGATTACCATTTGGTGTTAAGCCTGCCGCAGCCATTTTTCAGAAAACTATAGAAAACGCATTGCGTGGTATACCTAATGTTGTTAATTACCTGGACGATATTCTTATATCAGGAGATACTATTGAAGAGCATAGTAACTCCATTGAAAAAGTTTTGAAAAGATTAGAGAGCGTGGGTTTGCGTTTAAACGCTAATAAGTGTGTTTTCTTTCAAAAAACAATTTCCTATTTAGGTTTTGATATTGATAAAAATGGTTTGTCAAAAAACCAAGATAGGATTTCAGCAGTCGTTAATGCTCCAATACCGAACAATTTATCTGAAGTTCGTGCATTTATTGGATTAGTTAATTACTATTCCAAATTTATTCCTAAGTTTGCTGAGATTATGGAGCCGTTATATGCATTGTTAAGAAAGGGTGTTAAATTCAGGTGGACAAAATCATGTCATTATGCCTATGAAAATCTTAAAAAGGAAATTACATCCGATAGATTCCTAGCTTCTTTTGACCCCAGTAAACCTATTATTTTACAAACGGATGCGTCAAATGTCGCTATAGCCGGGACCTTGTCCCACAGTTTTCCTAATGGAACAATTAAACCGATCGCTTTCGTATCTCGAGCGCTTTCGACAGCTGAACGAAATTATAGTGCTATTCAAAAGGAAGCACTAGCCATAGTGTTTGCAGTAACTAAACTGCGACTCTATCTGCTTGGTAATAAGTTTGTTTTGCAAACTGATCATAAGCCGCTTTTGTCAATTTTTGGTGAAAATAAGGGACTACCAGTAATGGCAGCAGCTCGTATTCAGCGATGGGCTTTGACATTGTCTGGATTTGATTATACCATCGAGTATGTCAAG